GCACTGCCTTTCAACTACATTGCTATGCAGGGTATTTCGATGAAAACGCTGACGATTCTCAGCTCATTATCGATTTATGTGTTCTGACTACACTCGGTAATGCTAAAGCTAATCATTTTCAGCTGAATTATTCCCGAGGTTGTTTAGTGGAATTTTATTAATCAACGCAGTAAGCTAGTAAAGAGGGCTCCGAAGAACATACACTTACGCTTGATAAGAGTAAGCCTTTCCATAGTAGACAGTACGCAGAAGTGTATGTTATTAACGACTTTTTCTAGCGAAACAAAAAAATATAGGATACCTTCACTGCCTAACTGCATCACTGCTTGAATCTGGTACGCGGTGACAAAAGGCAAGGTATCAGCAGTACGCGGGTACGCAGTACCGACACTTCGCTGCCGCGTGACCTCCACCCGCTGCACGTGGTCTAAGAATACTGCCAGGGTCGCCCGGTCCATAGGCATACTCGAACCCGCGCCATCGGATTACGTGGAAAGCTTGTGCTCTTTAAGGCATCGCCATGGTAGACTAAAGCAGCAACAGTCTCTTACTGGTAAATTGTGTTCAACTTGCAAGTTTCCTTACAAACACGTTAAAAACTCCTTAAGTTGCAAAGAGAAATGCCGCCATAACCACTTCAGATAAGCAAGCGAAAACTGCAAGAGAAGTGCCAACACCCTACGACAGCAATCCTTCCCGAACTTCCAGAGCACGGTTTTGTCGCCTATGCTTATCACTCAAGGTATACTACACTCGTGTTTAACCATCAGTGGTCCATTCAAAATTTACTGCAATTCAGTTCAGTATTAGGAAATGCAAGGTGCTCTCCATACGACACCAGAGAAAGCACTGTTACAGGCTCGGAACGCATGTGCTGCAGCGAGTTGCCAACGAGCGTGATTTGGATGTACTGGTTCAGGATGATCTGAGTTGTTCAAAGCAATCCGCGAAAGCCTCTAACACTGGGAACCCACATGTGGGTCTGTTACGACCGGCGTTAGGACAAATAGATCGCTCTATTTTCCGGCAGATGCTTAGCGCGTATCATCGTCCTCATGTCGAGTATGCAATTCAAGCCTAGCATCCATGGCTAAAACGCGACCTTAGTGCATTGGATCAGCCCCAAGTTCGAGCATCAAAGTGCGTTATTGAAATGCACCATCTTACATACGAGGAGAGATTGGAACGATTGGGAGTATTTAGCGGAGGTTACCGCCGCTTCCGAGGTGACTTGATAAGGATGCACTTAATTCCGCACGATCCACATCATGTGCGCCTCACTTTACTGTAAAGCAACAGAAATACCAAGTTAAGAGGTCACTCACTAAAAGTGGCAGAACAGTACAGCCGCCAGGATTGCCGCAGGAATTTCTTTTACCTCCGCGTGTGTCACCCATGGAATACTCTTCCAGAATCGGTCGTTTCTGCACCAGCACTATCCACATTTAAAAGATGGTTGGATGACTCTCTTATTCACCCCGATTTTGTTGCTCAGCACCACATCTCCATCCCACTCCTGGAAGATACTTTGGTTTTATTTGCTGTTACATGTTTGTGACGTGAAACTACACGGATCGCAGAACTACAGCGAAACAAACGATAAGTCCCTTACTTAAACGTAAATAAACTGCTAATTTTATTTTCGATAAACCATCAAAACCATGCAACGGGATATGTAAAACATTGCTTATTAACCCGTATAACTTCATTGTTCATTGTTCGTATCTTGTTTACGTCCGAATCTTTTCGGAATAGGCTAACCTCCCTGTCCGAGTGCACTATCCTGGTGATGACAAGATCGGCCATAAGGCATTGCAGTTGGATGATACGAAAGTAGCTAAACCGCTGTCTCATAGTCTTTCCAGCAATGTCTCTAAGTGATACTGGATTTAACGACTTAGAAGCACCGAATCGTCCTTCCCATTCACAAGGGAGGATCGCGCGCAGCTCCGGCCAAGTACCTCCAATAACTATACTTCTGTTGCATTATAAAGCTGTTAATGTCACTTTAGCAAAAAGACTCACGGATTGCTTAGAAGAATGCATAGCTTTTAGCAGTACCAGCCTTTCACCACCAACCTACTACTTACTAACTCAAATTGGATTGAAACCGTTGGCATCGGTGTAAGCATTGAAGTGCTTCAGCTGAACTTTTTAAAAGTGTTCAAGTTTCTGAATCAATGCATTCTGCTTCACAAGCTTTGGAACTATGGAATCGGTGATCTGGTCCCCACCTAGATAGCTAGCTTCCCACTTCAAAGACATCTGAATGTATGTGTGTGCAGCGACATATCTGATAATATCGATGTCCTTTGCGAAGTTCCACGGGACTCAGTACATGCTCGACGTCCAGTCCCAACTCAGATAAAGGATCTAGCGAAAATGGTCCCTACGAATATATCACTCTGCTGAAGATTTCAAGACAAGGCGGTCATCAAAACAACAGGTCATCACCTCGCACTGCAGGATGCTTTTGACAGAGTACACCAGTGACCAACTAAGAAACAGTTTCATTTCAAAGCAACCAAGTGTAAAACATTGATCATGCGCCGTGAATCGTGTACAGCCTGGGTGATTAGGTTGTGCATCGCGTCTCCATTGAACGCGACCTAGGTTTGATAGTACTGGAGAATCTTGGTTGTTCACGTCTGGCTGAGAAAACATCAAAAGAATGTCATCCAAAACTTTGGCTTACTGCGGAGGGCAATCGGATGTTTTGCCCCTTCCATCTTCTCTCAGATGCACAACATCTACAGTAGCCTCATTCATAATATGCCGTCCAAGCCTGGCAGGCCTGGCAAGGTCACGACCTCACGGCACTTGAAATTCCACAAGGAAGGGAGACCAAAAACGTCAAAGATCTGTTATATCTCCCTTACCAACTGGGGTTGAAAAACGTCGAGGTCTGCAGTTGACAATAAATACACCGGCCTGGTGACTTGATAACGCCATAGTTGATGTAGGGGGATTCTAACCATGCCAGTAGTTGCCTTCTGAAGCGAAATTACAACATCACTGTGAGAGGTTACCAGCTAAATTTAGCCACACAATTTAGCCATTTGGAATATCGTCGGAATTTTTCTCACTGTGTTTATACTAACCTTTAAATCCCTCCTCCTTTACGATGTTTCTACCCTACACTACCGGTAATCATAAAATGCCTTAAAGATACACGCATATATGTACATTACGCCAGCGTTATTCCCACAAAGCGTCCCACGTGAGTTGTCAAGTCTTGGCATTTGTTAGCCTCATTATGCCATTGTTTCATTGTTCCACCATTATAGGGCTTCAACGTAACGCCACCATTCAATGTCCTTAGTTGCACTTGCCGCACTTTACTACATAAACGATGCCAATGTGGAATATATTTATGATTCATTTTTAGGGTCAGTTTTGAAGTACACATTGTGTGGATGGATTGGGACACTCAATCACAATGTTGACCGCGATCCCCATTGAAGTGAACCTTAGTCTTTCGATCACGAGGACCGTAGCTGTTGCAAATAGTAATTAGGTGTTGCTCGCCCGAAAACATTAAAATCCCAGTGGTCCCGGGTTCGATGCCCACTATCTCTAGCTGATAAGAGTAAATAACCCCGAAACGCGTCATATGAGTGCAGTGTTTTCTGGCGGGCGACACCTAATTGCTGTCTTTATGATTCACTCACACTGGACTTGATTTCATCTGGACCCAAGAAAGCGCACGTGCTAACGTTTCATTTTAATTTTTCGTACAAAATACATCAATTATATATATATATATATATATATATATATATATATATATATACCCATCATTGTTTTACGCGTTGACACCGACTCCAACTTCCCACTGTTGTTATGCAGCAGCGCTTCTAAATCGGTAGACGGTTTAACTGATGATATTTTTAGAGCTTCTCGTTTCCACTAACCACTCTTAGGGATTGTCAAGCATCTGCTTTTAACCTGTAGTAAATCATTGCCGATTGTTCGAGTGTTGACATTGGAATAGTAATAAGCGATTGTAATCTTCCCTGTTTTACTATTCATTTCTTGAAGCCTGTTAAAAGCCGGATCGATATGGTGGTGACCGAGATCCACTTGCCAACTGGTCTCGGCTGCCCGATCCAAGCATTGATACCCACACGGATGTACATCGAATTAACGATCTGCAAGGAACCCAACGACTGAGGGAAGACTGCAGCTGAACGTTTCCGTTAACAGCCAAGCCGATAGAAAACAAAAATTAGTGGCTTTCTTCATCTGTTCTCTATAACCTGCCGTTTTATATTTGTTGAATCAAGCGAGCAGGTGCAAAATGGTAAAACCGGGGTATTCACATGTGTTTCGGCAGTGAGTGGAAAAGTAGTGGTCCCAGACGCATCACCCGTGTTAATTGTACGTCAGTTTAATTTTCCGGTGTACTGGTGTAATTGCCACTCGTAAGACTTCAGGTTCCCGACTGGCATTTCTTCCTGAATTCATCTTACTCGAGCATATGGCGCCTAGGTGCGGTCACGTTGTCAGGTAACTTTGGACATCGACCAGTGAAACTGTATTTTACTCACTGCGGCAGTTGCCAAGCGAATCAACAAAACTATCACACTAGTGGCCTGACCACATTCTAAGCACGAATGTGACGGCGATGCAGTTCGACCAAAGTGAGGGCTGACCATTTCCGTTACACAGATTATTGGGTATCGTCCCATAAATGTACTGCAATCATTTACACATTCTGCCCTAATCATATGAAGCTTCAATATCAGCAAATAAAAGCAGTAGTGTGATGTGGCCGGGTAAACTCTAACGCAGGGCGAAGCAAAACTATTTCTCCCAGCGCTTATCTCCTCAGATAAGAAGCGCGCACATCCTCGACACTGGAGGTGCGACTATCACCCCATGTGATCGCCAGCCACTGCAATGTGTGTGGGTTTGTTTAAAATACACTACCAGTGTAAAGATCACATATTTGTGTCTACTTTACTGCTTCCTGTTTGACTGGAGGTGAACGGCGGATGTCAGTGAAAGTGCGGCTGGTTACACAGATAAATATCGATTAACAGCTTACAATGAAACAAACACTAGGGTATCCGAACCACCTTACCAGCTCTTTCCAGTACTTTAGTATCCTAGCCTTTGCGAGTTGCAGTGTCGCAATCACGGCCTGCACATAAGGTGTTCGTAGTTCTGTGAAGAGGCTGAAAGGAAGATCCACAAAAGAAGACACATTACGGTTGATACTGCGACACACCAGCGTGCGCTCACCTACCAAACAAACCTGGCATCATGGGCGAACAACAACACCCATACACTAAACGAACTCACTTGGTGAAGCGCACCATACGAGCCTTCCAATATGTCAGTTCAACTGAAGGTCCAATATCATCTGATTCTTGGCGCACTTGTTCCGACTGATTGAGTAACTTCTCAATTTCCCTGATCCACTGTTGAACAAGTCGTGACAAACGCTCAACTTTTTCCGAACTAATCACTGAAAGTAGAGATAGGTTTAGAAACCCAAGTTTGCGGTAGTGGTGCTAAGTGACACGAAACACAGCATAGATTCGATCCGAGAGTTACCTCGGTCCTTCTCCATCGTTCTCCAGCTGACACTTCATTACCTTGCCATACTAATATTTCCAGAAAGATGACCCGAACTGAGGCTTATGATCCACCGACTTTGCACTCTGCTAGTTCTAAAGTCCCAGATAAATGTCATACAACCATTCCCTTTCAAAAATTTTAACAGAGTAAGAACAACAAAAGATTCGATAATCTGAATTCAGTATATTAAGTGCGCTACGTTCGCTCCCTGGTTCATGCATCTCTTGTGATAGCCCACCGTATCCGTGCAGAGGAAACGATTGAGGAGGCAATACGTGGTATCGCATCTACCCTACGTGAAAATGGGTACCCTGAAAGGTTATTACAATCTACGGGGAGAAAATTGGGCCGCACAAATAGCGAACTGAAGTTTCAAGAAATAAGATACTTGTTGTACTGCCTTACAAAGTGGAAGAAATGACAGAGGTTTCTGTTGTCGCTAACGTCTGGCTATAAAGATATATTACTATACAGCCGAGCTTGTGTTGCTCCACAGAAGCATAAAGCTACTACATGAATCCAATTTGGACAGGCCTTACTCTACTGTCACCGCTTCATGTGTTTACCAGTTTAACTGTACCCGCGGTAACATGTACATTGGCCGGACAGATAGGTGGTTGTCCACTCGGATTTCAGAACACGTGCCGAAGAACCTTGCTCCCAGTGGCAAAACATTACCTTCCAGCTCCGTTGCCCGGCACTTATTCGACTGCTCGATATGCCAAAATCCCCGCGAAGCCTTCAAAGTCACCAACAAACAAAGCAACCCAACTTGTTGTGTTTTACCGAGGCTTCCGCCATTCGACGTTTGAAGCCTAGCCTATGGAAACAACTGGAGTTTGTAGCCAATCTTGCTGGCATTGGTGAAGTAAGACAGGGTAGTCAACACAACTAACCATCGATTTCTTGTATTGACCTATTGCTCCCAACTGTTTGAAATTTTCACTCATTTTAGGTAAGTGCCTGCAGCGAATACGCTAAATATACTGAATTCAGTTTATCAAATGTTTGTTGCTCTTGCTCTGTTAAAACCCAGATACATGTTTAATGGTTTAAGATCCATGGAAAGCGACGACGGAAGAAGCCGCGAAACATAGAAAAGCTTTCCATTGCTGTTGAATAACAGGCCAGGTCAAGCAAAGTGGTACAGATTTGAATTTCTACTTGCTCCCAAAATACAATAGGTAGTATTCAGCTGAAATGTTATGTAGAATCTATCGAGTGTGGCTATGCAGTAGTAATTCAATTTCTGAACATATACCAGGTATGAGACCGAGTACCTCATAGGCTGTTGTTACAAAAGTTTGTGGCCTTTGCGATCCGGGACCCATTAGTAGGTTGACTGTCGTCACACCTGAGTGGTCGTAGGCAGTCACTTTAGGTGACTGTCGAACTTTTCCACGCCTCATCCTTGGTGGGGTCATCTAACAGAGTGTGATCGGTCCTTCAATGTTCCCGCTCCATATTAACGACATCCCCAAATCTGTAAGACATGGTCGGTCATGTTTATTTACCCACAATATCAAAAACGTCTATACACTTCGGCATGACGAGATTCACGGAACGCTTCTGTTCACTCAAGATGACTTATATTCCTCCACGGCATGATGCCACTCGTAGATGATGAAGCTCCTAGCTAAGAAAGCATACATCATGCCATACAGCTATTCCGTTTACGAAGGATCTATTGCACTGAACTAAGTATATGTTCTTATACAGCTGTCTACGCGCGATCTCGGAATTAAATAATCATGTACCTACAAATTGTCTGAAAACCCCCAATATCAAATAGCACGTGTCAGATCAACTATGGTTAAGATATACAACATAATCTACACAATCCATACTATGGTTAAACTTTTTAAGCCACTCACAAGCCCCATCCTCGAGTATTGCAGCAGAATATACGGGAATATGAGAGAGTGCCAGAATTGCTGTGGAGCACTTGCATTGGCCGTTTACTAGACATTTGATTAGTAAGCAGTCTGCCATGAATTATCGAGAACACTGCAAAGAAACTTCAACTGAAACAACTTTGGATTCGACAACTAGAGCATAAGTCGTTGCTCCTTTTCAACTTGTTACACGAAAAGACCTACTCCGAGCTACTTACACTAAAACTGCACCATAACTCAAATCGAGAGCTTCGTAACACAGCTTATACACTGGTTATACGAAAGGCTAGAACAAGCATGCGCTCTAATTTCTTCCTGATCAGATATACCACTGGGAAATAAACTGTCAATCAAGCTCAGTTCAAGTGATAATGTCGAAAACTTTAGTAATAAGCACGCAAGTTAGCTTGACTTGGATACCATAATGACTATATTCACATGGGTAAAATCACTCAATGAGCTATCCTAAGAGCGGCTCATAAACATATAAACACCTATGTTTCTTAATCTTGTCTCTCGCTTCAACCGAACACCAAAAAGCTATTATGCCAATCTGGTTCCTCAATATCGCACATACTCACAGCGCAACACGAGAGTTTCACAACTTTTGTAACTAATGATCTGTGCCGCTACAGGCACAGCTTCTCGGATCAGGAGCAATCTAAATGTTATTATTATTATGCTAATTACTTGCATTCCACTGTGTAGTGGAGGACAATTTTCCATCAGTAGCTCTTGAGCCTTAAGACGTGCGAGTCCTGCGTAGATATCAGATCGTACACCTAAGTGTTTTTACAATTTTTCTCGCAGTACTTCATTACTCTGATCGTCCAAGTTGCTGTATTACTGATGATGACATCAATCAGAAATGTGTATCATAAAGTTTTTAGAAGTAGCACGTTCTATATTGGACCGGGGTTGCATTGTGCTGGCTTCTCTATCCCGAGAACATCAAACCCTAATAACCAACCACCGAAATTCTTGATACTCCAATGTTAGACACTTAGGACAGGAATTGTGATTGAAATCACAAGGTTTTCTTGACTAGGTCTGAGGAGCTGGACAGTTCCACCAGTACAGTACTATGAACGACTGTTAATTGATAGTACTAAAGCTATGGGTGTCACAGAGGTATCGTTTGTTCGTTCCATTGAACAGAGTGGCCAAATTGGACGTGACACCAGTTCTCTAGTTCCACTCTTCTATTCATTTATTATTTCCCTTTTTTAATGCTATTTAGCAGGTTATTCAGTGCTTTTTGGATCTTTTGTATTTTTTCTCGCAATTATACTATGGTCGGTAAGCCACCAATCTCACCCAATGTGGTCACAAATCTCCAATGCATTCAAATCAGAAATCTTCCAAGCTATAAGACACAATGTATCAATTTATGCAAAATAATTGGTTGCTACCAAGACATTCATATCATGGCATGAATAAGTTAATGCAACAACAATACCCACGTAGTGAGCGAAAGCATCGTGATATTACATGACGGTAAACTATTAGCTCTATGATTAACCATAACTGGTTTTGCAGTAGGACGAATGTGAACACCTGATAACCAGTTGTAGATGATACAGTATAGTGAGGTTTCTAAGTGCCTCCCTCCTACACCGTCTTTCAGGTTGACACCAGTTGTTGTTAGTTGACCTCCACTAGTGTTACTCAGGCCATTGGGTCGGTTAGGTACCTTTAACCAAACAACTTTCCAGCTAATAGTTCTGCATTGTGAACATATAGCAAAATTTTGATACAGATAAGCTAATAGGGCGGCGTGGGTCCTCAAAATTTTGGATACATTTGCTTTGAGCAAACAAGCCACGAGCCAGAGCCACTCTGAAGTGCTTGGCATCCCACTCAAGTAACATGTAACATAAGGTTTGTCGCCATCGATCCCAAACCTTATATTTTGCACGAACGCAACATCTATGAACCCATTTCAAAACACTCCACCTGTCCCTTCACTCTGCAGCACCGAGTCATACATGCACCGATTCAACTAAAAATAACCACTCAGTGGGGCAAGGGAAGCATCATGACTTTGGTTACATTATGTCACAGTTAAACAGTGTTAATAAGGTGATGGAGAATTGTTAAGACCAGATGCGACGAACATACCGGGACTCGGTGCTTCACTTGAGGTAATAAACTGAATCGCTGAATCCATTTTTTCTCCATCCGCCAAGCAGACTTGTTCACTCATATTTTCGCATGCATTTTTGATGGTTTCCAAATATTGGTTTATTCCTATGAAAAACTCTTCAATATCGGGTGAGCAGACTGGGGGCCGGCCCAGAACTCCCCAATCCTGATAGGGTTGGTAACGAAAGATTCAAACGGGATCCAAATGCAGTGGCAACATGAATTGATAACTTATGTGATAGGTGATTTTGATGAAATTTTACAAGATTCATCGCAGCAGTTTACTCCAATCCGGAAAAAACCAGATGGTCGTTTCGTCCTAGCTGCATCCGTCACTGGCTAGCAGATTGTGCCTTAAGCCATGGAAGACAGCAGGAAACCCTCATGAATCGAAAGCTAACCACAACATGGTGTGGTGGTAAGGCTATTTAGCTTGTGGCTTCCGTGAGGAAAAATGTGAAATACTTGGTTAACTGATATAAATAGCGTAGTCATTAAATTTAAATTCGCAGTTTTATCTAGCTTGAATTCATTGGCATTTTAAACTGATACAACTTGTTAATGAGGTCCGAAATAGGGTGCACTTCACGGGCATTGTCTCCTATGATGGCAAGCAGGGTTTTGGAGATCGAAAGAAAAAAGTGCAATCTAAATCCAATAGAATATAGCTCCAACTTAAAGGTTCTTGTGTACTGTAATAAGGAACTGAGTTCATTTCGGAAGAGATTCGTCACTTCCGCACTCCGTCAGACGGTCAACACATCCTGGAAAGCCCCAAACGATGAGTTCATCCCTTTAGGTCTCTTCACATATGCCGTTGTCTTTGAACGCTTACTCGAAAGTGACGGGTCTCGGGTTCTAAGCTCTTCTCTAGGAGGTGAAACATGCACTACAGATACAATTGCAAGGTAATGAACGGTCATCCGACACTTTTTCATTTGCGCAGTGGTTGCCCAAAGGAAGTCAAATCGATAATGGGCTTTTAGGAACCGAAGACTGGTGGATTTTCACTATGCAACTGTGGCAAACAGTTATCATATCATCATTAAGTTGTTATTTGTTCAGATAAATGCGACAATAATGGTTGCTGTTGGCGGAATATTTGGCTGACCGATAGCTATTTCAAACCAAAGATGGATAAAACTAGCCGTAAAGACGCTATCCTCATTCGGTAACTAAAATAGACAAATGCGAACACAAGGACTGCACATAAAATCTAGACGAGTTGTCTACTCAGAGAAGTACCCATCGTCAGTATGCATCAAAATCACCATTTGTTACCACTCAGCGCGTACATGACTCATAAGAACATAATAGCTATTGGGCTGCAGCAAAGATACGGTTAGGTTTCAGTGTCCAATGGACTAGTTGGTAAAAATATAAAAGCAAACTTCAGATACCATTAAAATACTATGGAAAATGACAGAGCAAAATAAACAAACATTGGGTCATGAAATTCATCGAGAAGTTGGATTAGGATGTTTACGCTCATGGGTGTTGAGACACCCGATGACGCAGGCGATAAAAGTGTGACTTTCGGACTGTTGTTAGCAGCAGGGAGTGAAAACAAATGTGAACGCGGAAACGTTAAGTTTGAGGCTAGAAAACGAGATGTATGACTATCGACAGCAGGCAGTATAAGGACAAACTTGTGGTCACCGGAAAACAAACCACACACGATCTCGTATGGCCACACAACGTTGACAATGGTTCGCAAAATGTATCGAGTAGTTTTGCCTGCTGGCGAAAGTGACCGATTAGAATCTCTGAATCATGAAAACTACGTTGACTTACTTCGAATGTTTCCAAACTTGGCACAGCGAGCCTAAGGAAATAGTTCTGCAGGGATTTAATCAATTTGTCCTCCGTTGCGTCAAGCTGCTGAAAGACAACTTCGTTCGATATGTTGGCCGTAGTGACGGCCTTGTCTGTGATGCGCAGGAATATGTAGCAAATACCACCAAGAATCTAAAGAAAGCAGAAATGATAGGAAATTGTAAGTTTGCTTGCACTTTGTCAGTAGTTTGCTGGAAATCCTTCAAGTCCGACAGGATTGCAAAACAGCCCGTGAAGTAAGAATATGAAAAACAGAGTACAAGTGCACAAGACGGCACCGAAAAGCAGTTTTATTTGTGATTTTAAGATCTAAGTGTAAAAACCATGGTTTCCCATTTCTTACGCAGTGCAGAAAAGGAAAGAAAGGGGACTAGTGTGCTGGTACTTGCACTATCACATGGGCAGTGCAACTAATATTCTCCCTACAGCATTACTGTCATTCGGGCAGTGAAGGGAAGAGACAGAAAAGGAATGCTAATTGCGGCATACATTCCATCCATTTCTACTTCTACTAATGCCACTTTTGTGGAGGATACGAGTTGTTTGGTATACTACTAAAGATAAAATGCTAGAATGCCGCATGGAATGTAAAATACAGGTCGGGAATCCTGTGAGGAACCCGAGGCAATGAAAAGGTAAGTTAGTCAAAGGAGGGTATCACTGAAAAGGCCCAGTCCAGTGCTGCAACAAACCATGCACTTTCAGGGGTGCTTGGCTGTCTCGTTTGAAACTGATATCCCTACTCCTAGCCAGACGTTTTCAACTGGATGGACTTGATGAGGCCAGCACAACGGTCATCTTTGTAGGCTTTCATCCACGTGTGAACCTTTCGTACATTGATTGCCGCCGATGAACTCATAGACCTAGTCAGCCCCTATGCCCTTCGAAAGCGAAGCGTTCTTCTCCATTCTTTCTACAGCAAAACTGCTACATGCGCGCGTTGGTTGACACTACTATGTTCTGTTTAACCGAGAGCAGTAGACTCAAGCTAAACCAATCTGAACTTATTGGGAGTACAATGAGTTACGTCAGAATCCAACGAAGGCTTCCAAAATATTCCAGCTCAGTAGAGCATCAGTCAACCACTATCAAGAGATCTTTGGCTCTACTAACTTTCTGTACACCACCAAATCCACCAGAGTTCTACCGTAGTCGTCTGCCTAGAAAACAAAGCTGTATTCGACACGATTGATTGGCCTGAATTGTGGCGTTATTTGCCAAGGTATGTTGTCCTAGAAAATTATAATGCTACCCCATGTGCACTTTACCTTCATACCCCGGTATAGTGAAGTTTTTCAGTAAGCCTACTTTACTCTTCATTGTCAGTAACGGTGTACGACAGAGCTATCCTATGTCATTTTACCCCTTCAGTTCTGAGACTGAAAACATTCTGTTAAAGCTCGAGAAGGCTACTAAAATATTGACCAATCAATTTTACCACGCGCAACCGCTTCGGGCTATGCTGACGGCATCACGTCACTGGGGGATGCCGCGCAGAGTATGAAAACTACTCTTAACCTTTAGCGATTAAAAGGTTAGGTAGGGTATGTACATCGCCCTCACGAATTGTAAAGTGTTACTCCATGGTTGGTACGCACCCGTTCACGTGCCTAGCGTCGAAGATGGAGAGCTCCGACACCAGGAAACCTTTGCCTACCTGGGGAGCTGTGGCTGCTGATGGCAGTGTTGGAATTGACGTTGCTTTTTTCATCACCAACGCTCAGTTACTATTCGTCAACCTGATGTGTTTGTGGTGCCGCCGCGATGTAGAAGGATTACCACACTTGCATGACGGTCGCATAGTTGTGCGCTCCTGTTTTATCGGCGGTACTCCGTAACCTTTATCGCAGTCAATTCATTTACACTTTTTTGTCTCGGTATGACGAGCTCCATCTACGAAAAAACACTAGCTGAGGAATATTTCGGCATAGCTTGATACTACCTGGATGTATAAAGTTAGGAAAGATTTCGCCGTTACGCATGAGTAAACCTTTGCGATGTTGCAACTACCTACTGAGAATTTTCGCCACGTTTGATGATGGGATCCCTTAGCTTAACAACAAGAGCTCGTCCGTCCTATTTCATCAGCATGTATAGCAGCTACCGAGCAAAGCAGTTTCTTATGTGAACTGTTTCTCCTCAGGCGGCTATCCAGTCTCGGCGCTCTCCAAATAATTAAGTGCTATAGTTTAACCTTATCTGCACGGACATCGCCTACACACTTCATCTAAACTAGTCGCCTTCCCCTTGATCGTACGTTGGTTTCCGCAACACGCAAGTCACGACGTGCCAGTCTTTTCACGTATACTTGACAAGCGGCAGGCGAGTGTTGCCCAACGGTGAGGCACCCTTAACCCGCATACTAGGCGGCGACTGTTCCGCCGCAATGGCCACAGTAGCTGCGATCTAAAGGAATTTTCTGTGGCGCTGAAGCATGCCATAGGGTATCAAACTAGACCTGACATATTCTCACTACACTTGTCGATACCATTCGAAATGCGCCAGTGCGTGTCTAACCAACACAAAGAAGTATAGCAGTTAGCTGCGCTAAGTTTGGTTCAGTCCTGAGAGTAAGACGTCTTTCTTGCAAAAGGTACACTAACTTCAACACAGTTTGATCGCTAAAACAGAACTTCAGTTAAATGTAGAGGTTGCTCCATTAGTGGCGACAAAATAGGACTCGCACCTCATCCGTCTATCCCAGTTGCTGCCTCAAAATCAAGGCAAAGAGCCAGGTGTTTCCACGGTCACGCAGCGCCGGAATCCTTTGCAACCTCGAACCAACCAGTCATTGCATAAGCGAGAGGCATGCACGGCTACATTACCCATATTCTCTTGTCTAATGTATTAGCTGATGCAACTGTGGCAACCTCTACGCTTCCGACTGGCTGACAGAAACCAAAACATTCTAAAGTTCGCTCCACTTATGCAACCGTAGATTCGTTGTTTGCCAAGTGCGCCTACAGTAACATCAACCACCGCAGACACAACATGTGGCAAGGACAAGATGCAGACTGCAGTGCCATCGTCAAAGCCACCGAACACTGGTTCCCCTACATCACCGTAGACCTGGTGGAACCATGGTGTCCTAAAACTCAGATTCGCCAAGCTTACTAAGTCAAAGGCAAAATCCTTGAGTGGTAGACAAGCGGACGATCTGAACTAATGAACTCTCTTTGGTGATAGGATCCGTGTTCGGACCAGGTCGGCTAAATTAATACATAATACTAAGCATCCAAGCTCGATGCAATACTGTGAGTCCCGATTAACAAGGTAACACTATGATTCACAGACGATGTCGGAACGGTACTTTTATCCGCAAACCGACTCCGGAGCAAAGATGGTGATATGCGAATAATTCCGGATTTTCGGTGGAGCGAACACTAGTCGGCATAAATATTACAAACGACTACCACAATGGCAGTGACAGAACAAATTATTTACGTTCACGATGCGTCTGAGTTACCAATACCTGGCGACGAGGGCGCCCATGCTCATGACTTGGAAGAATGGTGGTTACATTAGTGACACTCTCACTGCTAGTGACTTCATGGTTTAGACAACTTCAAGGCTATTCGTGTAACTACACTACCAAGGCAGTGGCCCGACGAAAGTGTAATGTGTAGTACAGTCCCAACAGATGGCGGTGAACTTAATACGTAACTGGCAAGTACTAGGCAACACACTTCCTTCGCAATTACGATTATGGGCAGCAGTTAGAGAACCACAGCTACTCGCTGTTCTCGGAGAAAAAAGGCCACTGGAAACTCAACATAACTCCAACAGCAATACAGAACACTACTTGCTCGAACTAGCAGTTAAGGGGAAAACTGCTCATGGACTACATACTGCGTGTGCAAATGAGGACAGAAACGGAATTCACGTCCGCTGGAACCAGCTTACAACTAGCGAAAAACGGACTTCGATGGTCTAGCTCGAGCCGCGAACCAACTGGATTGGTCTTTGTCACAAGCTGCGTCGGTGTAAGACTGTTGAATATATATAAAAGAGAGACTGACATCATTGTGTTCCCAATTTGTGTCGAAAGGTTGGACCGATTAAGCCTCATTGCTTTGACAAGGAGTACGGAAGTCTGGCTCCGAGGCGGCGCAGACTGTGAGACAAATTCCTCCTCTCAGGTTCTGCCAATGCTTACGAATGGTATAAAAGTCAGCGTAACCTCTGTAATAGGGCAAAAAGGAATAAGCGCCGACATTTCGAAGAGCAGCTTGCAATCGCCGAGAAGACCTTCCCAAAGAGAATCTTTGCTTGCGTAAAGCAACTCCTGAAGTCGGCCCGTGATGTGCCAGTGCTGGATGGCACGGAAGGATAGCCACTAACCTCCAGCACTTAGCTTGCGTCCGCGTTGGTGGCGCCCTTCGCTTCTGTATTTGCGAATGGCCAGATGTCTGTGTCTGTTCCGAGTTCAACATGTACCGCTTTTACTGCACTTGATAGTCTGCATTGCGATGTTGAAGAGGTATGTCAACTACTCTCCAACCTTGACGGCACCAAACCTGCCGGACCTGATGGACTTCACCCACTGTTACTCAAGACACTTTCGACCATCATCTCTCCTGCCGTGACTGACCTTTTCAACAGGTCGCTGTCCGAAGGTTCGTTGCCGGTTGACTGGAAATGTTTCGTGGTGAAGCCTATTCCGAAAGGCGGTGACCCTAGCAAAGTAGACAACTACAGTCCAATTTGTCTGACACCTATTTTGGCAAAGGTAGCTGAGAAAATCGTGAAGAAGGGATTGTTACAGTTTCTACAGTCAAACGAGGTCCTGACGCCCACACAGCACGGTTTTATGTAACACCGCTTATGCTTTACAAACTTGATTGTGAAGAGGCATAAGTGGTTGAAGGTAATACTCAATGGGAAGTCTGTCGACATGATATTCGTCGATTTCAGTAAAGCGTTCGACAAGGTCAGGCATGAGGTTCTCCTTCGCAAACTCAGAATGTGTGGTGTCATTGGCTCACTGCACCGGTGGATCCGCGACTTTCTTGTTGGACGAAAGTGGAGGGTACAGGTCGACAACCATCTAACTGATTGGCATCCCTCTACAAGTGGCGTGCCTCAAGGTACTGTGCTGGGGTCCACGCAGTTCCTGATCAACGATCTACCTCAGTTTCTCAGGTCGCCGTGTGCCTTATTTGCGGATGACATGAAGAGTTGGAGAGAAATTGACGCTCCCGACGACTGTGGCCTACTTCAGCAAGACCTCAACCGCCTATCCACATGGTCTGCAGAAGTTCTTCTCCCGGTCAACCCAGCCAAGTCTGTATTTATGAGCCTGGGGAAGGGTGCTAACGGCCGAACCTATACCCTTGACGGCCAACCGCTATATCCCACACCCTCCGTGAAGGACCTAGGTGTACTCTCGCGCTACGATTTGAAGTCCGTGGACAACATGAACAGACTATATTGTAACGGATTGCGCATGCTTTGGGCGCTCAAACGTAGCTTCAGCACATGGTCTGAAGAGGTTGCCACTCGTCTCTTCTCTTTCATCATTATTCCAATGCTAGAGTACAGTTCACCCGCCTACTTTTTGCTTGCCCGATGCGAAGCACAAAAGATCGAATGGGTCCAACACATTGCTACTAGGCTCATGCCGAGTTTACCTGGCTTGGGGTCTGAAGACCGGTGCGAGAAATTAAGACTCCACACCTTGTCCTACCGTCGGGTGCGAGTCGACCTCATTATGACCTACCGTATTCTACATCTCAGTGACTTCCCCATGTTGAGGCGAATGATGCACTTACGACGGCTATGCAGCACACGCGAGCATAGATACAAACTTGTCGTGCCGGATGTGAAACGTGTTTCGCATCTACTGTACTTCGAACGGACAGTGGTAAATATTTAGAACAGTTTACCTGAACATATGATGGAGGCAACATCAGTGCAGCAGTTCAGAATGTTAGAGGTCTACTTTACCAATATTCGATACAGAGAACGACTGCACACTTACGATGGCATGTCACATTTGTGAGTCCTGCAATACCGTGAGTCAGATACGTTACATCTTTCATGAAAACAATAACGATATTTACGGCTGACAATCTTTATAACATTTTTCACCTTCGTGCCGTGCGGCTGCACTTTAATTCGGCTCTCGCTTTGCCCTCTGTGGCCACTCTAATTCTCCCCACACAATATCGTGTGTGCGCTCGTTCGAACCAGTTCGACGAGCTCTACTCAGTGCTTCCCAACGCTTGGATCTAACCGGTGTGGATTACACTCTTGCTCCAGTTCCCAGTTTTCGGCATATTCTTTGCCGAGTTCTACGTGTGTAACTACATCAAACCGGTTTTCCGGAAAAGATTTTGGTCTCATTCGGAAGAAGAAGCTGAGGACTCCCCAACTACGCGGCAACCATCCATGCAAATTACAGCATAAAAAAGTTTCAGTCTTTTGGCTCCGCTCATCAACTGACCAGCTCTAGGGATGCTTATCAGCGCTCCACCTGCATCGTCGCTTAAGGCAAGCCGATCAACACCCGCTGCCGCTTTGTGTATCTGTGTGTTCAGCTGCGAGTCGATTGACCGCAAAACCCGATAATCTGTGCGTTACGACTTCCATCTGCCTCTCCGGCCTGACCTTAGTGCGGTTGAACAACTATCTATTCGTGTGTGTGTTCTGACGTGTTTGTGCGTCACGCCTAGCGCAAAAAGCACTCATCAAGGTAAGCGTTCAGCTAGGCTTGATGTAAACGATAAGAGGACGACTAGCATTCGAATGGTTCAACGTCGCCTAGCTTCAGCAGAGAACTGCAGTAAAGGCCTTAAAATTATGTTAACCGGTTATGACTACGTCATATCGTACTGTCTGTATTGTATAGGCAAATCCGTCCAAGAAGTGAGAGAGACAAAAAGTTGCTGGCACAAGTTGGCTTTGCCCAACATGTCAAGTCATTCCAGTGGTCAACTGCTTATCTTTGCTCATGTAAAAGTGCGACAGGATGACTGAGCTAATCGGGCATTTTGTAAATACTATGATCGATCTCACGTAGGTAAATATGGTCACGATAATATCTCAGCCGGCCAGAGTAAGCTCTGAGTATAAACCGAAGAAAAGAGCTAGACGCTCCAACCGCACTGCAGCGTCTGTGACTCTAAATCCACTGGATAACCTCACTCCAATAAGTAGACAAGCCTCAAACATGCTTGCTTCCACTTCTCCAACCATAGACGCTTCACCTGGAGATTCATTCATGACGCCGACAGCTCAGAGCCGTAGAAAATCCGGTGCAGATAACAAGCAGGTAACGTACGCATCGATTGCCTCGACAAACACACCGGGAGCGACACAGGTAGGTCCATCTACTGTACCGAGCACGCGTGGCGCAAAGCAGCTTTCACCGTCAACTCCAATCGTGTCCTCTAAACAACGCGAATTGCCGACAAAAAGTATAAAGCCGATACTCGCTAGA